AACAAATCACTTGAGACTTTGGAGCTCATCCTGTAACAATATGAGAACCAATCATAATGTGTACTCATCACCTCAAATAAAGTAACTTATCTGAAACATAGCTAACCCTTCGAGAGAAGTGTGAAGGCAAAGGCCCTGGAAAACTGCAATTACGAGCTTTCCATTCCTCCTTGGCCTTCTGAATGCGCTGAGTCTAGGGCTGTGTTTGCAAAGTCGAAGAAGTGCATTTCATGGCGTTTACCGGTCTTGGAGATTACTGGAGGGGACGGGTGAGCGATCGCCAACTGAGTCGCGATTGGCTGCCTGAGCCGATCAGCCAATTGCTGCCAAATGGGTGGAGCTACAGTATCCTGCGCCAGTCGCTGTTTTTGGCGGGAATCGCTCGCCCTTCCCCTCAGCAATCTCCAAGGCCGGAAAACGCCGTAAAAGCATTTCTTTAACTTTTCAAGCACAGCTTCAAACTTAGCGAGTTCAGAAGGCCATGCGCGTGCGAAAAGCTAGCAGTCGCATTTCCCGAACCACTGCCTTTGTGCGATTAGAGGCAAAAGTATAGGTGTAATCCGATCCATAAAGACAAACTTACGCTACAAATGACGTAGAGACACAGCAACATGACTTCTTCACGCTTGAATTGGACCAACAGACCATATACCAACATTAGTGAAGCAGTACTTGTGAAGTCATTAATTAAATTAGAAGCTTTAGATGCCTCTTTTATGACCATTCGCATGTGTGTTTTTTAGTCCTTGTACTCATTAAGACAATTCTCCCAATTTTTGCAATATGACACAAATGCTTATGAATTAAAAACACTAACAATTATCTAGGGAAAGTGTGGATCTACTGTCATGGATATTAGCAGTGTGTTTTGAACGCGTTTTTATTTTCGGAGTCTGTGCAATTTGCCTTCGATAAATCGTTTTAAAAGTGCAAATTTGCAACACAAACAAAGCAGTTGCCCAAATGCATTGTGTGGGATAAACGAATTACAACTTCCGCAGGTAAGTATTAAGTATTTTGAGATCAAATGAGGATGTTGGCAGATAACGAATAGAGGGATCGTTTTTTTTTGCTTTGATAAGGTTGACACTCCGAATTTCGAAGAATTAACTTAATTTGAAACCTTGCTGATAGATAGGAAATCGACCACAGATGACCCAAATCCATCTACACCCCATAAAGTTCACGACTGCACTGAAAATTATGCGCTTACATAAGTGAATGAATCATTTCGTACAATAGCACGATTTTATAGAGTTTTAGTGCCTTCCATAACTACAAGACAAGCACGAAACTTGGGAATTCCAGTTTTATAGAATTGATGAAGTATCCCTATAGTACCTTTGACTAATATTTGATTTAGACTGAACCGACATCTTAATGACTATCTACTCAGTGATGGCAACCAAATGTGTCTGGCTATCCTTATGTGGGGGCATTACCTTGTCAACGTAGACGGTATTGAAACAAGGTGGAGATCTTCAAGTTTTCGGCTCTCGCTTGCCTTTTTATAGCGTCGTACGGTCTTTGTGACACCAAAATATCGCCCAGTCTAGAATGCCGGACATACATCACACAATTTCATCGCCTCGCGATTCTCCTGACAAGCGAATTGTTACTAGTCCATTGCATGTCGATCATCCTGCATTTTGGTTGTGGTAGTCAGTCCTCATTAGTTGCGTTGGAAAACTATCACAACCGAAATGCAAGATGATCGGCATGCATGGACTCGTAAGAGTTGTCTTGTCAGGAGAACCGCGAGGCTTTGAAATCGCGTGATGTATGCACTGCCCTTAACAAAACTTGAATTTCATGAATGGTTTTTCAAAAAAGTTGTAACTTTGAGTCCGACATTTTGTAACAGCAGAGCTTCCAGAACCTAGTACATATCGTGCATCCCCAGAATTGTTCATATGTGAACCACCAACGTGCCTGCCTTTCGATCGCTTTAGCACATTAACTACAGTCGGTTTCATCCCGGATTAGGCGAGGCATATTACGTGGAGCAGCGCATGCGCATCGCTGGAGGCTTCGCGAGCGCATAGCGCTGGCATTTTGCCAAGCAGAGACTAAGGAGATTGAAGAGACGCAGACATGGGTTCTCAGCGCGGTAGGATATACTGCAGCTGCGAAACGGCGCGAGCTGTTGCGAGGCGGACTCCCGCCGTCCAATTTCCGCGTCGAAACCTACTGTACGGCACATTTAAGGCGCTTATTCGAAGTTGACATATTGAAATGATCGAAAGACAGCTACGTTGATGGTTCATATGAGGACCCGGGAGGATGCACCATATATCCAAAGTAACCCAAAAGGGAATGCACTTGTCATGAGATTTCTATTACGCTTTCATGACACACTAGTTACAAGGGAAGAAAGACTGCAATCAGAAGTCTGATTGGAAAAGATGCTGGATGATGATGTTGTAAAAATATCAAATCGAGTTCTCGAATGCTAATAGGGAGCGTTATATATCACCCATCCTTCGTCATCACTTTAGGAGTACATTTGTAACTTGAAGAGGGTCTGAAGACATCAGTTGCTACATTTTGCCCTAGAAGAACACACAGCAAGCTAAAAATTTACTATTAGGCTAAAGTGGGTCGCCGATTATGAATATGAATTTACCTTATCGTATTATATTTTGGACAGGTATTCCAGGGAAACCGCATTAACGTTTTTTTCATTGGTTTTCAAAAAAGCGATTAAATTATTTGAAACGCTCCAAAAACTCGTGGGAAGTAATCCGATGAAATCAGCATGTCAGAAACCACTGATGCACAACTTTCCACATTCTTCTGAAACTTTCTCGAACGGCTTTCACAATGGCGTGTATGCTGGAAGTTCCTACCGCAATCCTACAGCAATGAAGAGAGACTGGTGATCCGTTCCATACTATAAATCTAAGTTGGACTCTGTTCTACTGAATGGTACTTGTTATGGAAAGACAGTTATCAAGGATTGAAAAGTTTGTATAGATACTTATTTTTGGGACACCCTGTATATAGCATGATGCTCAGGGTGAGGGAATCTGCTCATCTGTACCCTAACCTTTACACAAACTGAAGTGAGTTGATCGAACCAACATTACAGCTTGAGAAGGGAAAACGTTCCCACCACAAGTGCGATAGTGTGAGATTTTTCTCACCCCCTCTTCACCCCTGAGGCGGGACCAACGTGACCCCCTTCACCAAAAGCCGAGAAAAAAATTCAACAGTGAGGTAAGGTTAAGCAAAGGAGATATTTGTGCGTGAATTGTTTATGTATAGGAAAGAGGAGTCTGTTGAAAAAGTGCTTGGTGACAGGTGTGAGCAGTGATTTCTGGACATTTTCGAGTTTTTGATTTAAAAAATTCCTAACTTTTGTAGATGAACATCTTTTACGGCGAGGTAATCACCGTTAGAACCGCCTCTTCCTCCTTTTCCAAATGATATACAGTTTGTCTCAGATCCGTCCAAAAAACTGCCTGGGTGAAGGGTGTCCTTGTGATTTTTGGAGAATTTCGAGTTTGTAACATAAAAAAATTCATAACTTCTGAAGATGAACATCTTGTACGCCGAGATGGTCACCATTGGAGCCGACGTGTCCTCCGCTTTCAGAAAATATACACTTTGCCTAGGGTCCGTTGAAAAAAGTGCCGGGTGAAGGGTGGGTGAGACTTTTATAATGGGAGTGCTCAAGTAGACGTCTTTTCACAATGGTAAAAAAGCCTCCACTTGAGCACTCCCATTATAAAAGTCTCACCCACCCTTCACCCGGCACTTTTTTCAACGTACTCTAGGCAAAGTATAAATTTTCTGAAAGCGGAGGACGAGGCCGTTCCAACGGTGGCCATCTTGGCGTACAATATGTTCATCTACAGAAGTTATGAATTTTTTAAGTGTTAAAAACTCGAAAATCTCCAGAAATCACTAGGACACCCTTTAACCAGGCATTTCTTTTTACGGATGCCAGGAAAAGTATATATTTTCTGAAAGCGGAGGACGAGGCGGTTCCAAAGGCTACCATCACGTCGTACAAGATGTTCATCTTCAGAAGTTACGGAATTTTCTATCCTAAAAACTCGTAAATATGCAGAAGTTACTACCCACACTCTTCACCAGACACTTTTTCAACAGACTCCAAGCAAACTATATACTCTCTAAAAGCGGGGGACAAGATGGTTCTAAAAAATTTTCCTTGCTGACGTTGCTGTTCATCTACAGAAATTACGAATTTCTTCTTTTAAAAAATTCGTAAATGCTTGAAAATTGTCTAACTCTTTGCGAAACAAATGTTCTCGCATGCACATCTTCTATGGTAATTTCAAAAACAGGCAGGGTGGTGGAGAAAAGGAAAAAGGAAATGGAAAAAATACAAGGTGATGGTCAGAAATATAATTGGGTGCTAATCCAACAGCGCATCGGTTCACATTTCAGAAAAAAAAAACAACCGGTGATGGCAAGGAACTGAAAATTATAAACTTTGACTAGGAAAAATGATGAGAGAACACCATGGCTCCCACCCCCTTCACCCTGGAGGAGTCATTCTCACCCTATCGCACCTGTGGTTCCCACTCTGCGCTCGCAAGCAACACAGTACTGTGGCAGCGGGGGAGGGGAGGCAGAGCTACCGCGCTCCATCGTCACTTGTTCGCTCCACTGATTTTGGCAAAGTTTCTTTTTTCCATTTGAACTCCGACACTTTGTAATTGCCTTCCTTGTTTTGTTGAGGATCATTCTTTTCCTGTCTCTGCATGCGGGTGATTAGTGCACAGCTGTGTGAATGTGGCTTATTTTCTGACTTCATAGAAAAGCTCCTCAATTTTTCTCAATTCTTCCTCAATTTCAAGTGTCTCAATTTTTTTCGAGAGTAGCTGGTCAAAAGCTCACCCTCATCTTGCAACTTTATTTTCAACGACTTTTCATCTCATTACGTTTGTGCGTTGTTCTTCGACGCATGGTGTGGGAATATCGGTTAGTGTTATATTGGAGTTATATTTCAGTGTGCGCCTTAGCGTTGAATGTCGCTATCAAAAAGCGGTGGAGATGCGCAATTGCTTGTTCTTGACATATGTGAGAAGGTGATTACTCTCGAGATTTCACCGCAAGATGCTTTCGCCAAGCTTGAAGAGTTGAAGGTAAGCGTAATCTTGTGTTTATATCTTTCACCTCGCATTTCCAACAATATGTGCCTGCATAATTTAGACAACTTTTTCGCTTCTGCCATCTCTCCTTCTTGATGTACTCGTATCCGTCGAAGGTGATGCACAAAACAGTGAAATCAAAGAAGCTGTACCAAAATTTGCTGAATTCGTTGGTCTGGTGGCAGATAAGGTACATCGTCAAATAACACTTCTCCGCAAAGGAAACATCCAATTATTTTAGATTGTTCCTGCCGATATTCTGAAGATCGAACTGGATGTGTTAGAGGCATCTCTGCCAACAAATAAACAACAGCTTGTACGTTTGAAAACAAGGCTTTAGTGAGTTGGTTCAAAGTGCATGTTTCCATTTTTTTTCGCTTTATTAACTTCACGAGATTTCTATGCGCTATGGTTATGGTTGAGGTTGTTCGATTTTTGACATTACATAGTAAGCACAACACATCTCGATTAGGAAGTGGTTACGTGGTTGTTCTATAGGTCTAAGGCCTAAGGCATACCTCACGCGATTCCAGTCGCTGCGCGATCTGGCACTGCAGCGACTCTTCATAACTGCTCGTAAGCGCGCTTTGCATAGGTCAGACTTGAAGCTTTTGCTGCAACTTACGGAAGCTACGCGCCTATGCAATTTAGACTCGCGCACGGTTGATTTGTAAACATCTGGCAAACCGCCAGGTCGCTTGGATGCAGCGATTTGACGAAATCGCGTGAGGTATGCCTTAAGCCTAAGACCGGAAATTCTTTTTGGATACGAATTTTCCACAGGATTCGGTATTTTCAATATGCGTAGACTATTTTTTTACAAATGAGTCGATTTCATGACCAAATCTTCTAGAAAAACTCTTGATGTAATATTTTGATTCAGCTACAAGCAAGCCAAGTTCAATTTACTGCGTGAAGAAAGCGAAGGATATGCGAAGCTAATAACAGAGTTGATGGATGGTGGAGGAGGTATTCCAGCCAAGACCATGATGACAAGGGTGCTGTGTCTGATTGGTGAGTCTGGAAAGTGATACTTTCATTCGTTGGTGAGGATCTGCCACTCAATGACTGCTTTTTTGCTTAAAACTGTAATACTTGCTTTCTTGTCGCTCTTTTATACCCAGAAAGTTCCATCATAGAATCTCCTTCTAGGTCAATTCAATCTTGACCCGAATCGGGTAACAGACATCGCTCTGGAGTGTTTCGAGTGTTGCGCTTCTCAGAAGCAATTCTACATTGCTCTTCTGAAAGAAATCAAAGCCAACAAGGACTATCTATGTACTCTTCTTGGTTTCAAGTACACGTTTTATCATGTAGGTCGTTTGTCTGTCTCATCTATGCTTTTTCTACTTTTATTTTCTCAATCGCTAGCTAATAGACATCAAGATAATGAGTGTTTCAAACAGAGAATTTCAGGCCGCAGGAAAGGAGACACCCTTTTCTTTGTATGTTGTGACATCGTCTTTAATTCAAGAGGACATGATCGATTTGATGAAAATAACGGGCTTTGTAAGTCTAATGTCTCTCGCTTAGACTGCCCATGTGCATTCGCAATGGATATTCTGTGAATTTAGATGGTACCGAAAGCAGAAGGAATCAAAGAAACGCATCGCGCTCGCGCAGCAAAGGCTGGAGAAAGGGCTAGGAAGGTGTGTGCCTTGTTTTTGCCACAATTTTCCTAAGGTTCATAAATCCACTGCTTTGATTGTCCATATTTGTGGATATTTAGTGACTCGGAAAGTCTCTGCCTTAGTCATTTGGTCACACTTCAGCTCATTTGTGCTGTATTTGGATGTCCTATATGGGTGTTTCAATACGATCTTTGCAGGCGGAAACAATTCTTGCGTCGAACATCCCGTTAGAAGTTTCTCGTAATTCCAATGTCGACGCTATGGACACTGGTCAGTCCATTGTTGGAGTCTCTTTTGCCACAGTGGCTGCAATTCAAGAAGCCGACGATGCTAAACTTGCTGCTGAACTTAACGAGGTCGGTAACGGCATACCAATGAAAACTTTTGACTTGTTATGGCGGAGTCACTTTTTGCTAAAAGATGCAATTTAAGGAAGCCGTGCTTTCAACAAATCAGAAACTCGGACTGGTTTGCGCTCTTATCGAGGACGGTGCGTGGCCGCTGGCAAAGATACTCATCGACAGATTGCCCGAATACTATGCAGTACAAGCAAGGTTAGCGTTTCTCATCTGTTTTCGATGCATTCAAGTCTTTTTATTCTCTTCTTTGTTAGGCCCCGGGCAGACTTCACGCGATTTGATCGTCGCGACTGAATCGCGACGAGACAACTGTTACAACATCATTCCATGCCGATCAACTTGCATTCGGTTGTGATACTTTTCCAGACCGAAATTTTTGAATGTGAAATGAAAATGAATGGTCTTGGCGATTAGATCGCGACGATTAAGTCGCGTGAAGTCTGACCGGGGCCTTAGCTTGTTATCTTCCATACTCTTCTTTTTGCAGTGAAATTCTTTTCAGCGTACGCGTCAGCAATGCCATATCGGATCTTATTGGGCAGGTTATAGAAAAGTTCTACATAGAAAAATGTTCCAATAAGCTGGAAGATTTGAACCTCAATACAAAACGTGATCCTTCTAAAATGTCGTCATTAGATCCAGTGAGTTTTTTTTTGTTAAAACTATAGTATATACACTGACCTGTTTCCATAGGGAAAGTCGTGCGTTTACAGGTCCGTTCATGGTCTGACCTTGCGTCTCTTACTTCCATTTTGTGGTACGTGGGGCCTCGATTGGCCTATCGACCCCTTATTATGACCAAACTTGTGCGACTGATCGTCGCTTTCTATCGTGAACAACTGAAAGGACCAGATGGAGCACCAGCAGATTCACCAGGTATGTTGTGACATTTATGGCATTTCCCTTTTTAGACCTGACTAATTTTTTTTGTTTCTAGTAGCTCGAACTATGATGGATATCGTGGACGAAGTAATAGTGCCTGGATTATCGCTCTCTGATTTCAACACTGGGCTGTCCGAAGAGATATGGACGCTGCTACAATTCTTTCCTTATACGCTACGCTATCGACTATATGGACAGTGAGTAACGAATCACTCAGAAGTCTTTGCATCCAATTGTCTGGGACGAGCTCATCATCGCTGCAAGAAGTGTTCTAGTTGGAAGTATGGCAATACGATTCGTCATCCTGAAGTAAACATTATGCGAGGAAAAGTTCTCGGTAGAACAAAATATGTGCTAAAGTAAGTTGGTGGACTTGGTCTACAGAATCTCAAAAAAATTTTGTTGTAGGCGACTATCAAAGGAGACAGTACGAGTGATGGGTCGACAGTTGGGAAAATTGTGTCACATTCATCCGATAACGGTTTTTGACTACTTACTCAGTCAGGTAAATAAGCTGAAAATTTTCCTCGTCGCTTCTATCATTGTTTGCCGCAGTTTATGCGAAATAACAAGAGGCTTCTCATAATTTTTGTAAATTTTTCTGATCTTTATTCAGGTGGGACGGTAATGAGCCTACTGTCCAGTACTTTAGCTCTTTGCTCTTTTCTAACTTATCATTTCATGCTCCTGTACTAGCTGCTTATCAGGAACATCACAAATGTTTTTTGCACTTCAGCTTGCAATCTGTATAACTTCATTGCTATACAGCTCTTTTTAGGTGCAAACATTTGACAATCTTATACAACCGGTAGTGGAAAGCTTGAAGTTTCTCACTAACCTGGAGTTTGATATTTTGACATGTAAGCGACTCATTCTACTCTCACCTCCATGCTATATATGGAAGTTTTAGTTTGTATAATCGAACAGTTGGCAAGTCCCGATAAGCAGCAACTGAAAGCTTCAGATGGGAAACTCAGCCCATGGCTGCAAGCTCTTGCAACATTGGTGAATATCTGCGGTATCTGTTATACATACCAACCATGTAAGCAAATATCTTTGTCAGGTTGGTGCGATTTACAAAAAGTACAATGTGGAATTGTCTGGAATGTTGAATTATGTCATGAACCAGCTCAAAAATGAAAAAAGGTGCGCACCTAAGCGTTCGCTGTCGATCTGTGCATCATAGTTTTCTTGCAGCTTTGACTTGCTTGTGCTACGTGAAGTCATCCAGAACATGGCTTGCATCGAAGGTGTGGCTGGAGCAACTCCTGACCAGCTTGAGGCACTTGGTGGCGGAGAGCTGCTCAGACAAGAGGTAAGCGCTTTCGCGGTAAATGGTCTACGGTGTATCCCTGACGAATGCAACTCTTTTGAAGGCTGGAAGTTTCACTACTACAAGAAACAAGCGCGCATCTGCACGTCTACGTGATGCTATCATGAGTGGCGACACTGCTGTAGCCCTGTGCATTTTGATAGCTCAGCAAAGAGAATGTGTAGTGTACCATGATAGTTCCCGCTTGCCTTTGAAGTTGATTGGAGAAATGGTCGATCAGGTCAGTACTGCACTCTTTGTTTATCTTTGACTGTGGCTTGGTTTGTTCTAACTGCCTCAAGAACTTCTGCTTATCGTTATTAATGCCTTTTTCGTTCGTTTTCTTTCTTTCTCCTTCAACGTGTATCTGGGAAATGTTCCACTTGTAGTAATAACTTCTGCATTTTTTACAGCATCTTATGCCAGGTGTCCCAAAATATGGTCACGAGGTTTGATATCCGTAGTAACGCTCTTGTATGGAAGACCTTCGTCTTCCTTTGAACGCCATACTGTAGTGCTGCTTCAATCGGAATTACGGTATGAAGCGGACCATCGGCCGCTCTCCATTACTGTAGGATTTTGGTCGGAATGAAGAGGACTTTGAGTCATCGAGGGCCCTATTACACCTCAAGCAAACCAAATAACCTGAAAACTCTTACGCTAGGTTAATTAGAGCTGCTTTCTAACGCAACTTTTCGTTTATATTAAGTAAAATAGCACATTCTAGAGTGCTCCCTAAAGTTTGTACACTATTTTAAAATTTAAAAGCTCCTCAAAAACCAAGTGATGAAATCGGCGCGCGTGAAAATACACAACTTTACATTTTTTTTGTAGAATATTGAAATAAGATCACTGCACAAGGACTCTGTAAGCTGAAACTTCTACCGTAACCTTACAGGAGTGATCGATGATTCGCTCTATACCATCAATCTGGTTTGAGGGCGGCTCTGTAATATGGTGTTTGAATAAAGCCTTTTTATACAAAAGAGTTATCACAGAAACGTTCGATATTTATTCTAGGACATCCTGTATATTGTTCTAGGTCTTTGTCGACAATCCGGGATTATAGCTGCATTTTTTTAGTGTCGGGATACGCTCCTTCAACTTGGCACCTTTCTTCTGTCCAACTTTCGGCAAGACGACTATGCCCAAAGGATGCCTTCTGCACATTCTCTCGTCATGGACTATCATCTCCGCATCGACGCCGCAATGTACCTTACCCGGCCTACGTATTTGCCGAAGGTAAATAAATTATATAGTTGTGAAAAGTGTTGATGCGAGATGGGATACGCCGTTTATTAGTTCATCAAGTAATTTGGTTATACTTCCAGATACACAATGCATATGATTCTGCAAAGCGCGCAATGAAAACAGATAACGACACTAAAAAAATGGATGCACAACAAAAGGTACATTTTTTGTCGTATGTTGTTTTATTTCTGAACTTTGTCTTTTGCTGTGTCGTACTGCTATGTGAAGTTCTTCCTCTATCTTATTAACATTCCTTGATGTGAAATTATTGTTTCGCGTATAATCAGATTGAAAACCCTTTTCATTTCTTTTCAGCGTCAATAATGTCATTTTCAGTTTATATTCTTCAAATCCGCATTTGATGATGTAATCTCAAAACTGATCAAAGAACTCGAGCCTTGTATATCCAAGCATGCTTGCCGAGACATTCCCATCAGGTCAGCAGATTGATGCTTAGCTTCACTTTTCGATAGGAATCAGTTTCTAGAATTTCACCAACTTACAAGAGAATTGTTGGAAAAGCTTTTTGCAGGCTCTTCGTTGTTTTCTGGATATTGTCCTCTTACGATATTGAAGTTCCCACTGCAGCATATGAAAGAGCTATCGAGAACATTCACAAGCAGATAAAGGATGTGGGTGATTCGGCAGTGATGGTAAGTCTTCCAGCAATAACATCTGTCCTGAAGCATTGCTGCTGTTTTATAGAGTAAGTCCAAACGACAAAAGGAAGAGGATCGGTTACGTAGTCTAGAGAGCAAGCTCAGAGATGAAGAAAAGCGTCAAGCCGAACATGTTGCGCGGATACGAGCATGGTTCCAAAGTGTCAAGGATGATTTGTTTGAGGCTGGACGTAAGTGCTAATCACAGGTGTACTGCTATCCGTTTTCTGTTCTTCATAAATCCATTTTCTTTGGAATGGTAAAAAGCCGGTGTAATGATTTTTCATTCCAGGTGGACAACAAACAAGTGCCTTCATACAAACATGCATTTTACCTCGAGTGCTTTTCTCAGAATCTGATGCGGTAGGACGCTCATATCATGATGGTCAACCTATTTCAACCAGTTTTCAGATCTATTCTGCAAAGCTCATCATAATTTTACATCAACAAAGGATTACTCTGTTCCAGTCTTTAGTGTTTATCGATAAGGTAAGGTTATTTAGTCATACTGCACTGTTTTGCACATTTTGGACTTCACATCTGTAATCAGAACCAAGAAAGGCCCCAGCATGACAAAAAATGGAAGACGAACATTTGAGTGAATGTTCCTTTTGACTCTACGATGTTATAAAAAAACAAGAATTGAAACAAGAAAAATTACTGACAACTTAGACACAGGAATTATAACGCTTACGTATGGGGTCCTCAAACGGTTGGATCAGTCTATCACAAAAGACATATAGGCGAGTCTTGACACGCGGAGACTGGACGCCGTTGTTTCCGAGGAAGATAACCGTGCCTGAGAGAGGCAGCAGATGATGAGAGAAACGAAAGAGCGGTTCGATCAAAGAGACGCCGATATGTCCGCATTCTCTGCGTGCGATGAATCGCCCATGGAAAAGACTACCTCGCAAGCCCTTTACACCATAAGCGAAATGCTTTCGGCAATCATGGCTGAATATGGAATTTACATTACAAAGGTAAATCTATCAGGGGCATTAATGCAAAGATTTTGCTCTTCTGCCCATCATTAAAGACATCATTGGTGACACGTGACTGCATCAGAAGTCTGGAGATAATGGCGAAGTTAGAAGTTAGCATTATCGGGCGCTTTTTTACTGTTACAAACGGGCTCACATCCTCCCAATCGGGAGCCCGACGGTAAAACAGCGCTCGATTACGATTGCAAAATTGATAAATCCCGCCCCAGAAGTAATTTTTTGAGCATATAATTTTTTTGGGTATATAATACAAATGGCTCGAATGTTGGTCGACTTCATTTCCTCTTCTCAAATTTCACTAATCAAACCGGAGAAAAATTCGGCAAACGCATTCTTTTGCAAAAAAGGACGAGAAAGAGTATTCGTCTCTTGGTTATCACTCTTGATTTGCAATCCTTGATTTGGGGAATGGGATTTGGTTGGAGTTGGAGTCAACTATTCAACATCAAAGGCCTCGGGCATAGTTCAAACGAGTTCGTCGTCCTCACGATTCCCGCGACAAGACAACTGTTACAAGTCCATTGCATGCCAATCACCTCGCTCTTCAGTTGTGATAGTCGGTCACGATCAGTCGTATCGGAAAACTATCACAACCGAAATGTAGGAGAATCCGCATGCAATGAACTCACAACAATTGTCCTGTTGGGAGATCGCGAGGCGATAAAATCGCGTGAACTATGCCCGAAGTTAAACTAATTCAAATAATTTTATGTGATACATGTGATACGCACACGCTTGGGCGGGGAGACGACATATTTTCTCCAGTCATTTCGATTTTCTCGTCAATTTCATCTACCCTCACACACTAAACTTACTTGTGATGTAGTCAAGAATACATAACTTATACTGATGATTTTCAAAACAGCACAATAAGGCGAATTGCATAGAAATTTTATATTCACCACCGATGAAAAGAATCTATCGTAGTACATAAACAAATTATATGAAGATATATCAGAATCAGTGTTGAATGAAAGGAATTGAGGCATTCATTACACGAAGAGATCCATTATATTTCATTAGATTCTGTAGATACACAACACGTAACAAACAAATAATAACAGGTTTCGAGGTAACACAGGTGGGAGTGGAGCCTGATGCTTGAATCCTATGTCTCGCTGACTATACATATACTACACTACTTCCGCAAAGGTTTACTGAAAGAAAATTTCTTTGAAAAAGTAGATAAATAAATTAACACATAAATACATAGATAAATGAATGAATAAGCGAGTCATTAGAAAATAAGATCATGCTTACTTATCTTTCCTCCTGTCCTTTTTGTCGTCCCGCCTGTCTTTTTCTCGAATTGGTGATGGAACTCTGCGCTCACGAGATACCGGTCGGGTTACTATAGTAAGCAACTGTTTTAGAGGAAAAGAGCTGGTAAAGAAGACACTTACATCTTGACTCAATTTGTTCGCGATCTTTTCGTGGAACTTTGGAATGCCTGGAATACCTTAGATCACCTTTTTATAGAGAATGTTGGTTAGTTTGCCTAATACTTCTTGAGATTGACAAAAATGTTGAAAGTTTCACGCGGAGCTGATTTTGATCAACTCCGATGAGATTTGTGTCACAATGCGGTCATCCTTATTCAGATAAAGCGCAAACAAACTAATCAACATTGACAGAGGAGATCCCCCTCCCCCGAAATGCTAAATCCCTTCAAAGTGGTCTTCGTGACTTTAAAGTAATCTACATGATCAGATGAATGACTCTTTAAAGACGAAATTAGCTTTGTAAAAAGATTTTGTATGGCAGCCACGCCTCGTGATTCAAAGTTGCAAGCTTCCAAAGAAACTGAAAGGCTTCCCAAGGAATTTCTTAGAAGACGTAGCTGTCACCTAACTCGCCATTCAAAAAAGAGTTCGCTCGCACCCCCCGCAAAAGTGTTTCCAAAATGTTATTGCTCAAAAACATTTCTCAGTATGAAAAAAAAAATAACTGACAATAGAAGAAGCTTTCTGTCAAGGAATTACTCACCCATTCTGCTCTTCATCCCTAGCCGATCGCTTGTGCGCTTTTTGGTCACGTTTTCGATCATCTGTCCGTTCTTCTCTCATCGATGGTGGGAGCTGCAGACACAAAATTAGGAACCCTGGCTAAAATTGTTAGCGCGACACTTACCGCAGGTCCAACTTCTTCGTCGTCAAGTCCTCGATCTCTTCGTTTAGGTGATGTTACATCTTTGGGCACATCCTCTTTCCTTGATGGTGTTGGATCCCGTTTCTCCTTAGCTCTCGTTTCTCTTCTTTCGTCTTCTCTCCTTTCCTTTGTTTCTTTATGATCTTTCTTCTCCTCTTTCACCTCTTTGGCAGGAACTGCTTCTTTGCGATCTCTTGTTAAACCATTCGCCGCCTTCTCCACGGACAGTACTCTGCGTTGATACCACTGCTT